CATAAGAGAAGGGAGTGGACTGCAAACCAGGGCTCAGCCCTCCCAACCCATTCACATACTGGCATGAAACTGAGCAGTACCAGAAATGAGCATCTGGGCCTCCAGGTCGTTAAAAAAGTGTTATTTGTCAAGGTAGAATGATAGGACAGATCTTACATTTGTTAGCTTGATTTGTAATGTTTAAATATAGAAATATACGATCCGGACGCGCCCGCCGCGCAGCTGGCCCGAGCCCTGCTCCGCGCGCGCCTGGACCCCGCCCCCCAATCTACGATGATGGCCCCGCGGGCCCCGAGGCGGAGGACGCCGGTGACGACACGTCTGATGTGGACCCCCAGCACACCATCCACAACATCCCCTTCAGAACTGTATTGCCTAGTTCTGAAGATACTGGGAGTTGGTGTTGGTAGCTGGTCTGTGGTCATAGCCTTTGCATTGGCTATTCCCTCTGCCCCTAGTTATCTGCAAGTTTTTGCTTAAATGTCACCTACTCAATAAGGCTTTATCCCTTCATCTGCCTTTAATACATGGCCTTATGTCATACAAGGGCAGGGATTTTGTGTGTGTGTGTGTGTCTGCCTCTACATCCTTTGTACCCAAAGCCAAGCCTGGCACACAGCGGGCTTCCCCACATTTCTTGAATGAAAGAGTTCTCACAATTCAACTACCATTCTAACCAGTTTCACACCCACCCACATAATGCTTGGCATGGAGGCAGCTTTGAAACCTGAGAACATTTATTTTATTTTGCACAAAATCTCTGAACTTGACAAAATATAACCAACAGTATGTTCCACAGTACCAAAAACCCCACCACCGAATGAAAACCTCCCCGGAAGAGGGGTCCATCTATCCTAAATACACCCGGTGTCCCACACAGCTAGTCTCGGGGTTCTCATAGCAGGGAAGCATCCCCCCTGGCCTGGGGGATGGTCCATGTTTCTTGATCAAGACCTTCAGGCCACAGAGCAGCCACAGTGGCACATGGTCTTCTGGTGCCGGGTCTTATTCTCAGCCTCCTTTGCCATGGCCTCCTGGACCTCCCGGACCTTCTGGATCTCGTGGATGAGCAGGGCAAAGGCCTCCTCTACACCTTGCCGCGTTTTGGCTGAGGTCTCCACGAAGGGGGCCCCCCAGCTCTTGGCTAGATCTATAGCAGCAGCATGAGCATCTCCAGCGGTGGTCACAAGGTCGCACTTGTTGCCCACAAGGACGAGGGGCCGGGTATAGTGAGGGCCCCAGGTGGCCCGCATCTGCTGCAGCTGGGTTAGAGATGATGGGTCATCGAGAGCGAAGACACCCAGCACACCATCCCCAACAGCCAAGCACTGGTCACGCAGGGCCTTGTGAGTGGGTTGCCCGGCTGTATCCAGCACATTCAGAATGTAGCCGCCGTGGTCCAGGGTCACCTCCTTCCAGTAGGAATCCTGGATCGTGGGGTCATGGTCTTCCACAAAGCACTGGTGGTTCAGCTGGATGGTCAGTGCACTCTTGCCCACCCCACTCGCGCCCACCACCACGGCCTTGTACTCCGGCAGCTGCTTGTTCTTGGAAGGTGCCGGAGTCTTGCGACTCTCCTCCTGGCTGCCAGGGCTCCAGGTGCCCAGGCCCAGATCAAGCATGTTAGGCTTTTTGGGGCGCGCCATGCTCAGGGAAGAGATGCAGACAGCAGGCCCTGCGACTGGGAAGAGAAGAAAGACAATAGGGGGGCGGGGGCCGGGCAGTAGTTTAGGTGAGGAGACCATGGGGGCAAGGGGCAGCTGGTGTCACTGAGTCAACAGTTACTGAGTGCCCAGTGTGTGCTGATCACCTACTATGCTATACACATTATTTATATTGTTTATTTTCTTTTATTCCCTTCTACTACATAAGCTCTGTGAAGGCAGGGATTTTAAAAACAGCTTTGTTGAGATAGTTTATATATTATACAGTTAACCTAGTTAATGTGTATAATCAATGACTCAGTATTTTCACGGAGTTGTGCAACCATCAGCAATCTAATTTTAGAAATTTTCTTCACCCCAAAAGGGACCCCCCCCCCCCCGCCCATTAGCTGTCCTGCCGCACTCCAGAGGGATGGCAGGGATTTCATTGGGTTGGTTTTGAGTTTTTAACTGTTGAACCCCAGCCCAGCACAATGCCTGTCATACAGTAAGACCTGAGCAATATTCCTGCCCCTCCCAGGGAGTAGATGTTCTAAAAGGTGGGGACAATGAACCAAATAAATAAGCAAATTATGAGGTCTGTTAGCCATTGTCTAAAATTCAGTCTTTATTACCTATTCAACATTACCGCTGCCAGGAACCTACTGTGTGGCAAGGTGGGGGAAAATAGATAACAAACCTTGGCCCTCAAGAATGTGACGATGTAGTCAGGAAGACAGAAAACAACAAAGATATTTCAGCAACAGGTGATAAGCATGCAGAGGTGCTTGGTTAATGTTAGCATTTTTGTTGTGATTCAATTTTCATTCATTACTGCGAGAAGCTCCTGGCATACCAGGTATCATGATGGACGTGGGCATGGGGGTAGTGGGAGGTGTGCGGGTGGGATGGGGCCGTGAACAAAATAAAGTTCCTGTCCTTGGGAGGATTAGACTCTAAAAGTGAGAAAGACAGTAAACAAGATAAGCAAGTAAATCACCAAGCAATTAGAAGAGCATGGGCACACAGCAGGCGCTCAGTGAAATGAGGGTTATCTATTAATAGCAAATCACCGTTAACTCATTCAATACACATCCTGATCTTAGTTCAGGAAATGCATCTTAATGGCTGCTCTCCCAGGAAACCCGGGAGAAGTGGCAGTTTGGGGGTAGATGGGGGGGCGGGGATGGTGTTTCTGTTGTTTCGGAGCCAGAGGTCAGTAAGGTCTAGCTGTGTGGTCCTCAGCCCAGAGAGATCCCTGAAAAGTTATTGGATGTGCTCGCCCAGAAAGGGGGCATGATGAGGAAAGAGTTAAACAGGACAGAGTTCTGGGGGTCCCCAAAGTTGGGGAGACAGAGAGAAGATTTAGCTCCGAGGACAAACTGAGAGGAGGGGGGGGCGGTGGATGTGGAAAGGAGAGGTCGGATTCTGGTATATTCTGAAGGCGGAATTAACTGGCAGGTGAAATTCAGAGGCAGGGGAGGGGATCAAGGATGACTCCTTGGTTTTGGGCCCGGACAGATGGAAATCTGAGGGTTCCATTATCTGAGGGTGGGGACATTTGAGATGGGCTCTTCCCTCTTAGCAAGTCGCCATGGCTGTGACTATGACCCTAAAAGCACTAGGTATTATTTACTGAACCCATCTACCTGCCGGCCATGCCAACACTCAGTCCTCCTCACACCCTCGAGAGGTGTGGGCTAGCATCGCCGCAGCCACTAGATCAATGAGGAGCAGCAAGGGAGGCTCGGAGAAGCCGGAGGTCCCACAGCCCATCAGAGATCAACAGAAGCCAGGTCTCACCTTCGCAAGTAATACGGAACCACTTGCTGCGCCAAGTGCTATTGGAGTGTCGTTATGGGGTTCTTAAGACCCTGAGACCCCCCTCCCCCACCCCACCGCAACCCACCCCCATCGCCCATCGCCGCAGGACCGCATCCTTTGTGTGTCCTTTGTGTTCGCCTAACTACCTGTGGGGGGTGGGTTGGGGGTGGCAGATTCAGGGAGAGTGGGGGGTGGGGGAACCACCCCAATGTGAGCCCTTACAAGCCCCCATTTCAGGGCTAGCCCGGGGCAACCTCCACCGCACTTCCCCGTGACTAAGCCAGGTGCAGTGGAAAGTTTGGGGCAGGGAGGAGTGACTCCCAAATTTTACCCTAAAGCCCTGACCTTGTGCTCAGTCTAGACCACCTCGGCCAGTTTTTCTTTAGGCGGGACAGGGTAGGGCATGGGAAGAGACCCCTCACCCCAAGGCTGGGTCTGCGGGCCCGCAGCCCCGTTCCCGCCTGCAGGGTCCCCGGCCCAGCTCGGCCTCCAAAAGCCGGAGCCCGAGGGGCTGGGATGTGGTGGCTGGCCCCCTGAGGAGAAGGGGCAGAAGAGGAAGGGTCCCCGTAAAAAACCACCTCAGTCGAGCTCCTACAACCCGAGGTGGAGAGCCCTCCCAGGTCGGGGCTTGGCTTGGCTGAGGGCCCGGCCAGCCGCTCACCTCAGTCCGGGAGAGGAGTTTGCGCTGGGACCCGAACTCGCTGCAGCTCTGACAGGACCAAGAGTGGAAGAGGTGCAACACTAACCCCGGAGCAGAGAGCGGGGGGCGGGGGATACGCATGCGCCTGTCCCGCCCTCAGGCCCCTCCACCTGCAGCTCCCCTCCTCTCCCCTCCCCTCGCCTCGCCCCCCGCCCGGAGCGAGAGGGTGAGCGCAGGTCTTGCCCCTGCCTGCTGGTGCCGCCAAGGAAGTCTGACTGGGGTGCGCTGCCCGCGGCCCAACCTCCGCGCTGCCCTCTGCGTGGGGCTGCACCTCGCCCTTACCTTGCCCCGATTAGGGCTGCGGTTTTGGGTTTTTACTGAATGTGGGGTGTCGGATTTTTTACTTGAGGGGCTAGCCTTTGGGAAATGTTCTGAGAGGGCCTCTTTGAGGACATGGAGCCTGCACTGCCGCAAGCAGGCTTTTTGGTAGCTTGGGAGAGGGTTATCTGTTCCTGGAGGGAAAGAGGTACCAGAGAGCATCATGTCCGTTCCTGGAGGGAAAAAGTGGCAGAGGAGTGGTTATTCTGTCAGGGCATAAAAAAACCTGGTATGAGGTGGACATGTGCCAAGGCTAAAACATTCCCCAGACTCCCTTGCAGCTATCATAGTCACAGTCTGACCAATGAGATGTAAGCAGGGGTTACTGGAGGGGCATCCAAAATGTTCCTTAAAGGAAGGACTGAGCTAGCCATAGCTCCCTTCCCCTTCCCCTCCCCCATTCCCTTTTTTTCTTAACTGGGTGAGGCTCTGGTGATCATTTTGGGGCCATAATGTGGCCATGAAGAAAAGTCCAGAAATCCTCAGCCTTGGACTTGAGTTGCCAAATTCTCATGTGGGAGAAATAAAACCTCCAAACTATCCTCCAATTCCCTGCCCTTGTTCCATAGTAGCTACTCCTTCCCTCAAGAAGCTACTACCCATGGTTACGAAATTTAAATATGTTAAACATGGACACGCCCCTCACCCAAATCAGGACAAAGACAGGTGGGGAGACGGGCCTGGTGAGGATACTTCCTAATAGTTTTCTTGCCTTCTCAGCCCAGGGTGTAGCAGGGACTGGCTGTGAGGCTTATTTCTAAGGCACTTGTTTTCTCACAGATTCTACCATTTAATCTATAGTAGAGCCAGTCAAGCTGCTCTATTTCCAGTTAGCTTTTTGAGTGCTGGCTGGGCAGGGGGTTGACCTGAAACACCCATGCCTTCATTTCTTCTATACTCATCAGCCCTGTTGGCCAGGAGTGTG